GTTACCCACAGTTTGAGAGATTCGGAAAGAACGAGTGAATGAATGAAGCAACCGAATAAAACCAAATTGCTCCAACCCGGATAACTTAACCAACTCGTATGATATGATACCCGGACCCGGCACACCCGTGCGCCAAGGGCCGGCAATTAACTATTATTCAACCATCAACACACGTAAATTATAGGCTGTAAGCAACGCGAGTGCAGAAATCCTCCATGGTGCCTAGACCAAAATGCCCTGCACCGGAAAGCTCCCACCCCAACCAACGCCATGCCGACGCTCTCACCAAAATAGAAAAGCCCTTCCTCCCAAGAGTGCAGAGTGTAATGGTTGTTGCCAATCATACAGCCGCACGTAACGTCACGTTGCACGTCACAGATGAAATCACAAATCCTCACTCGGGATAATTCCCCCACCCCTCCCCTCCCGAAGGACCCATCCGGCAGGGCGCACGCGAGCTGAGCTGAGGAAGAAGGAAGGGAAAAAAAAAAGGAAAAAAAAAGCAAGACAACTCGCCAGTATATTTTGAGAATGGGCAATAAGTTATGGTCGACCCCAGAACCTAGCTCCATTTTTCCTGAACCATCGTTAGAGTACGGTACCGCACGCTCGTTAAGCTTTACGCCCCCCCCCCCCCCACCCTCCTCCTCTCCCCGCTCCCGGAAGGAAGGAAGGAAGGAAGGTTTTAAGTTTACAGTCATTCGCGTTTACTCTGCCTTGTGCCTCGGAATAGCTCTTCGAGGTGTCTTGATTTGACCTCTTTACCTACTACTGTCGCTCGCTCTCCTCCTTCCTCCCTCCCACTCGCTCTCTCTCTTTCTTTCCGCTGCACCCGTCCTCCCGTCCCGTCTTGGACTTATAGTTTCCCTCCCGCGCTTGCTAGGGATACGATAAAAGAGCGGGGAATGATATTGATGATGATAAACTTTCGGCCCATCCTGGCCTTATCGTTGGCGACATTAGCGGTTGGGGCATGGGCGCATGAGATTGACGTCAAGGATAAAGGTATGTTGAAAAATCGCGCGCAGCGCACACACACAAAACACTCCGGCCCCGCATCTGCGATAAGGGCCGCCCTGCATTAGGGATGGGAGCGGGAACGAGAGCTGATAACCGGGGTATTCATTTTTATCTGGTGGTATTAGGCTCGGTATCCAGGGTCGCTGGAAAAGTCGCATTTAAGATGATGCAGTTCTACCCCGGTAATAAAACCGGCGGCATTCCTGGACTGTTCGGGGATCCTTATTACTGGTGGGAAGCTGGTGCTGTGTTTGGTGTATGTTTCCATCTCACCTATCCCTCCTACTCTAGCGTTGGCGATAATAACGATCGTGTGGGAACGGTGAGGGGGGAAAAAGGCATTAGTAGATTACTGGGCCTACACCGGCGATACTAGTTACAACCCTACCACTAGCGAAGCGATCCTGCACCAAGTAGGCCCGGACAAGAACTTTATGCCACCGAACCAATCCCAGTCGCTCGGGAACGATGACCAGTGCTTCTGGGCGTTGACCACCATGTCCGCAGCGGAGAAGCGATTCCCCAACCCGCCGAATGATTTACCGCAATGGCTGTCGCTCTCCCAAGCCGTGTTCAACACCCAGGCCGCGCGGTGGGACAAGGACAGCTGTGGCGGTGGGCTGCGCTGGCAGATCATCCCGTTACATAGCGGGTACGCCTACAAGAATACCATCTCCGCCGGGTGCTTTTTCCAGCTGGGCGCCAGGTTGGCCCGGTATACCGGGAACGCGACGTACGCGGAGTGGGCCGAGAAGACGTTCGACTGGACATATAATGTCGGATTAGCGACCCCGCAGCACAGGTTTTTGGACGGGGCGATGGCGCCGAAGAATTGCTCGGATATAAATCGCTTGCAATGGTCATATAATGCTGGGATGTATATGGCTGGTGCGGCGTATATGTATAACTTTGTTTGTCCCCCTCCCCCCCCTCCTCCAATCCGTTGGAGCGCCGCGCTGACAAAGCTGTGAAAACTGGGAAAAAAAAGACCAACGGATCTGGAAAATGGAAAACCCGGATTCAAGGAATCCTCAACGGCACGTTACAGGACTTCTTCACTAGACCCCCAGTCGGTCCCGAAAATATCATGTTCGAGGTGGCCTGCGAGCCGTACCTGACCTGCAATGTGGACCAGCGCTCCTTCAAAGCTTACCTATCCCGCTTCATGGCCCTGACCGTCAAAATGGCCCCCTTCACCAAAGATACCATCATGTCGGTGCTGTACACCTCCGCCACCTCCGCCGCTAAGCAGTGCTCTTACGGCGAGGACAAGAACACCTGCGGACAAAAGTGGTACACGAATGAGTGGGACAAACTCTGGGGCGTTGGGGAGCAGGTCTCTGCGCTGGAGGTCATATTGAGTACTCTTGTCGGGGGCCTCGACTCACCGGTTACCGAGGCCAAGGGCGGCACGAGTAAAGGTGACCCGGCCGCTGGAGGAGGGGGCAGGGGGATAAGGTACACTGGGCAGAACGGCCAAGGGGGCGTGGATGGGTGGGTCAATTCCAAGGGAGAGTTCGTCCCTCATACGCCGGGTAAGAAGGATAGGATCGGATCCATCGTCCTGACAGTGGCGACAGTATTGGGTCTGCTTTGGATGGCGTGGTGGATGGTATGAGAGTTACAAATAATGATACGGTACAAGTTGCATGAGGGGCACATTACCGCCGGGTGTTTCTCGGGACATTTGGGTGTATAGAGGTCGCAATGGATCATGTAAATACGGTGTTGCCACCATGAACGCCCCAACAGAGAGCAGGGAAAGGAACAAGAAAAAAACCCCCCCCCCGGAACCGAATCACGAGTGACGAATGGTGACTATTGTATTATCCCCAATTAAAAGAATCCAATTCTCATTCCCCGATATAACAAGCCTCATGATATCTCGATTCCCCGCCATTCTACACTACTCTTAGAGAGCGACAAAAAAAAAAAAAAAGGGTTTCATTTTTTTTTTTTGCTACAAGGAAAGAAGAACTCCAAACACCAACCATCCATCAGCCAACCGAATATTTCCTCCCGGACATGAAACACGTTCATAATAACGATAATAATAATAAAGCAAACGCAAGCTCACCAGTGGCAATACGGCCCCATTTCCTCCCCTCAATGACTGGCCCTGCTCTGCCCTGTCTCCCCCCCCTTTTTTTTTGTTTTCAAAAGTGCGACATGGAGAACGAAGAAAAATTATCTACGAGAGTAGATCCGAAACGTTCATCGGCATTTCATCGATTTGAGTACCTTTTTTTCTAAATGTTAGCTTTAGGATACCCAAGGATGCCCGAAATAATTAGAAGGGGGAATACTGTAGAAAAGTTCGATATCGCGCAAGATCCGAACGTCCTCGCTTGTGACAAAGTTGATAGCGACACTTGGCAGCGTTAGCATCAATCAGAGGGCGATGTTAAGAGTGGACAATTACCCCTTGCGACCGAAACGACCAGATCTACCGATCCTGTGAATATAGTTCTCACGGTTACTCGGCAAGTCATAGTTGATGACCAAAGAGACCTGCTGAACGTCGATACCTCTGGCCCAGACATCGGTGGAGATGAGCACACGAGAATTTCCCTGGCGGAACTCCTGCATGATAGCATCACGCTCCTTCTGCGGCATTTCTCCGTGCATGGCAGAGACGGTGAAGTTTGCCTCACGCATCTTCTCCGTCAGCCAGTCGACCTTTCTACGTGTATTGCAGAAAATGACTGCCTGTGTGATCGTAAGGGTGTCGTAGAGATCGCAGAGGGTGTCGAATTTCCATTCTTCCTTTTCGACAGCGATAAAGTATTGTTTCAGCCCTTCGAGGGTCAACTCGTCACGCTTGACAAGGATGCGGACGGGGTCTGTCATGAACTTCGTAGTCATATCCAGGACATCGTAGGGGAGGGTAGCGGATACGACGACAACCTGGGTGCTTGGGGGAAGGTAGCGGTAAACATCGTAAATCTGCTCTCTGAACCCACGATTGAGCAATTCGTCCGCCTCGTCTAGAACCAGCATCTTGATGTGCTTGGTTCTCAAGTTCCTACGGCGAATCATGTCCGCCACGCGACCGGGTGTGCCAGAGACGACGTGTTGGCCATAATCGAGCTTGCGGATGTCCTCCCCAACGTTGGTCCCACCGATACAAGCGTGGCATTGAACGTTCATGTAGTCACCAAGCGCCATAACAACGGACTGGATCTGAGTCGCGAGTTCCCGGGTCGGGGAGAGAACTAGTGCCTGAGTTTCACGGACTGCTGTGTCGATGACTTGTAGGATGGAGATGGAGAACGTTGCGGTTTTACCGGTTCCGGATTGAGCCTGAGCGATTGTATCACGACCTTTGCAGATCTGCACGATGGCTCTGCTCTGGACGGCGGAAGGGGATTCGTAACCGTAAGCGTAGATTCCGCGAAGAAGGCCCTCCTTAAGGTGCATGGCCTCGAAGGTAGGCGCCACGGTAACCTCCTTGCTGGTGCTGAACTCAAGACGAGCATCCTCTCTTCTGTCGATTCCTTCAGCCATGTTGTATTATAATTTTCTTTTCCTTTTTCGAAAAGCTGTAAGTTGTTTGCTTGGGGATGAAGATAGGGGAGAAGAGGATAGAGTGTTGCGTAGAAGGAAAGATGGACGACACGAATTGAGTAGCCTCCGAAAGTCAAGTTAGTCTCAGTCTTGGCACTCACCTACGGTTCTATCATACTCGTACGTAGGGTAATTTAGTGCATCGTACCACTTGACGAAAGTGAGCAAGAGCCGGGTAACCTGGGAGTGATCGCCTGATGACCAAGCTATGCCAAGCGCCAAGTGTTTTGGAGCCGAAAGTTATGATACTTGTATGATATGATATCTCCCCCACCTCACCACGTCCCGTGAGACCTGAATGACTGTCGCTTTGCCCTGCCCTCTTCACTCCACTTACCGGTACCCTTTCTAACCCCAACCACTGTACTGCTATCCATCCCACCCCACATACTTAAACACCATCCCACACAACATACAACGGCTATCGCAACAAATAAATCTGACTCTAAGCTGCGAGAAAGCAGGCAAGCAACATGAATCTCTATTCCACTATTATGTCGGTGCGAGAGTACCTCTCAAGTCCCTCACATACCTCGACCTTCACTAGCACTGGCCAGCTCACCCCAGAAGAGTTCGTCGACGCTGGAGACTATCTCACCTACAAGTTCCCCACCTGGAGCTGGCAGCCAGCTGCACCGGGAAAGAGCGTTAGCCATCTACCTGAAGCCAAGCAGTTCCTAAAGCTCCTCCACGCTCCGTGTCATTCTCGTCTTGATGATAGTTTTTCCCCTTGGAACCCTGGCGAGGCTATTGAGGGTGTAGATGAGTGGGAAGACAACACTCCTACCAAAGATGGGGACCCTCCGACTCCTGCCAAAGTAAAGACCGTAGATGACAAGGGCGTCGAGGAAGAGGAAGAGGAGGACGAGGAAATCCCAGATATGGATGATGATGAAGAGGATGACGATGAGGCCATCATCAAGGAGGGCGCGAGGGGAAAGAGCGCAGACGGAAAGTCCGGAAAATCGTGAGTTTGCCACCCTAATACCTTTTGCATCACCTCACATCCTAGAGCATAGCTTACAAGTTGAATAGACCTCTACGGTACTACAACCTTTACCTTGCTTACTCCACGTACTACCGTACCCCGCGTCTATACATCTCCGGGCACGACGGAGCTACCGGGCTCCCGCTCACCCCACCTACAATTATGTTCGAGGACATCGCTCCCGATTACCGCGAGAAGACGGTAACTATTGAAGAGTTCCCTCCAGAGGGCACACTGATGGCGACCGTACATCCATGCAAGCACGCCGAGGCCATGAAGCGTATCTTCGACAGCATGCTCCGACGCAAAGAGCGGGAAGATTGGGAAGAAGTACCTCCTGCAAATTCCGATGATAAAGAAGAAGAAACAGTTGCCAGAGCGGAGAATGATAGCGGACTAAGGGTTGACCAATATATGGTTGTATTCGTCAAGTTCATAGCTGGTGTCGTTCCCGGGGTAGAAATGGACTATACCATGAGCATCTAGGCTGGCAGGATTCGGATGGGTTTTTAGTATCTCCTTCATTTCCCTTTTTAGTACTTCCTGCTTATGGGTGGTTGAGGGCTACACGGAGCTCTGTTTTGCTGCTTTTTGATTATTTTTTTCTTTTAAGTTGCACTTTTACTTTACTTTATTCGCTGTATGAAGGGGTTGGCGGTGTTCTGTCGTGTTCTGAGATATAAGAGGTTTTTTCCTCTGCTCTTCCCTTTTACCTGTAGTTACTGTAGCTATTATTTCGCGGTCTGGATGAATCGAGTAGTGATTCATGTTTACATCTTTAGAATACGGAATATGTTTCTTTGGGGCTCGTAAAGATAGGCGTACTATGAATAATATAAATACGATAGGGACATAATCACAGGGAATCTCTCTCGATATTTCCCCTGTGCTCCGCTCTAGGACGTGGGGAAGCGGTCGTCGGTGTAACAGTTTCTTCACGCCTTGTGCTTCTCACTCTAACATACGATTTGACTAATACCGCTATGCTGACGAGCCCTGCGTGCTGCCGTACGGTACCCATCCTTTCGGCATCAGGTATGCAAGAATTCAAGGCTGAATAATTGATGGACTAATGGTGTTGTGTAATGTCACAGTTAATCACTCGGGATTATCCAACAGACCTGCGCCCTCCCCACCTCCATATAAGTATGACAGTATGCACAAATCCACCGGTATGACATTGCTATTTACTCACTAGGGCTTCCTCCCTATCACCCCGGATTTGCTCTTGCGCTATCGGAGAAGTTGCGCATGGCTTCAGGTTGTTGGTGGACTTTGCATCTCATTGATTTCTCCCGTCCTTTGTATTCGCGTGGTGTCATAAACACGACCATCTTTGGCTTCTTCTTCTTCTAACCTAGCATAAAGGGCCATAATGAGCTTCTCATAGAGCTGGGAGTTCGATATACCATACCTGTACTTGTACGGTACTCTCAGCTTTGCTTATGAGCCGTCGTTGGTGCGGCGAGTCGAGCGGACTGTGCATCAACCCCAACATGCAGCACTGAGGCCAGTCCAATCAAAATCTCTACCAGCAATTCAAATCGGCCCTCTTGCTGGTAGGGCTTGCGGGAAAAGAAAGAAATTCGCATAGCATCATCTCAATTTTAGGGTTAGGGCCCGGACAACCTTTCATTGATTTGCCAATCTAGTCCACCGGTCTAATCCCGACTTTGAATTCGAAATTGCCCCTCCACTAGGTTACCACCCCCCCCCTCACCACCCGAAGCCAATTCACACAAATGAATCCTGTGCTTCGACTCCACCCACTGCTTCTCCGTCCGCACTTACAATTCTCATCGCGGAACCTCAATGCCCGCCAATCCAGCCTCCTCCGCCTCCTCCTGAAGTCCGCCTATTCAACGGTCCCAGCCCCGGCAGTGGCACCACCCCCAAAGCCGGACCGGGACTATACACCCCGCCCACTAGACCGCCCCCTAGGCCTCCCGCATCCACCGGAGCCCCTCCCGCTAGGCCCTACCACTGGTGCAACAAAAAAGAAGGGCTTCCGCAGCCTTAGCCAGGTCCGTACCGACCTCGGCGATCCGGGACAGAATCTGGCGAAGCGGCAACGCCTAGCGAAGGAGCTGGCGAAGCCATACTTCCGCGACTTCAGTCGTTTGTCCAAAGCGGATAAGGGGAAGTCGTTCATTGCGCCGCAGAGATTGATCAAGAGCGAGCATGCGCTTTGGTTCCCGAACTTGAATGGCCGGACGCTCGTTGCGGCGGGGAAGGACACTACGGATGTGCTGAAGGGAAGGGTATCGCTTGTTGCGGTATTCTCCAGCACGTGGGCTGAGAGACAGGTTGGGCTTTGGGGGCTTGATGAAATTGTGGGTCTAGTGCCAGGGGCGGGAGGGGGTGAAGAGGAAGACGTGGTGGGGAGGCTGGATATCAATGTTGAGGAGAACTTTCTCAGGTATTGGATTGTTATGATGTTTCGGGGGGGTCTCAGGAGGAGGATGAGGGAGTCGCGCTGGAGGAGGTACTTTATTATTAAGGAGGGATTGGATGATGAAACACGGGATGCGATGGGGTATTATAATGCTAAGGTTGGGTATGTGTATTTGCTGGACGAGGAGTGTAGGATTCGGTGGGCAGGTTCCGGGCCTCCTATAGCTGGGGAGAGGGACGCTTTGATTAGGGGGGTTAAGAAGCTGGTTGCTGACTCGAAAAAGAAGCCAAGCGATGCGAGGGCTGGTAGGAGAGGAGAGGGGGTGGATATGGGGGAAACATAGAAAAAAACAAAGTATCACATCATTAGGATTATATTCTGTAGTTATAATTTCCTTCCTCCCGTCATGTACAATAGCCAGACCAGCGCCAATTCAACAGCCCACAAGAACGAAAAGAAAAATGGCCGTTCCCTGCACATGACTTGCGCTGGGACCTAAAGTAAACAGACAAAAGGCGTCCGGTCATGCCTTCTATGGAAACGATGGTATGACCACTGATTCTTCAAAACCCACTCTATCGAAACCACAACATCATCAAGAAACAAGCGGCAATCAAGCCTGCCAAAATAACACTGTCCCTCTTCTTCCTGGTGTTAATCTTAGCAATGATGGTATTGATTCCTGGGATTTGACTGGCAGAGTGCACAATCCTTCTATTGATGTTTCCTAGTAGCTGCCGCTGATCCATGAAATCTGACTGGATGGCATAAGCTTGACTCAAGACTGAATCAGCAACATTATGAGAGTTATCAATGCGGTCGCGCTCGTCTAGCATGTAGTCCGCCTCCGATCTGCCTTCTTCAATCCTAGAGGCTGATCGGAATGCATTAATGTCATCGCGGACGGATGATAAAAGATGTGTGCGTGAGCGAGATTCTGAGATAGTGCCCTTCAGACGGACGAACTCGCGGCGGTGGTCCGAGAGAGTGGAACGGTGCAGGGAAAGGTTTTGAAGTCTGGTGGCGGAGGAAGTTAACGTCGTTTCGGAGTTTAGGAGTCGGGAGAGAGAGGAAACGACAGTTTCTCGCTGGGGACGTTAGCTTCGGGAATGTTTAGGGGAGATGTCTAGGAGGAAAGATTGGTGTACCTTTTGAAGTATTTCCTGGAGTTGAGATTCTGTTTGGAGCTCCGCTTCCGAGGGCTTTGCCGCAGGGCTGGAGACGAAAGAAGAGTAGGTGTGGAATAGGTTGTCAGTCTATGTTCGTGTTAGCAGGGTCCCTTGCCCAAAGAATCCGGGTTTGGCTAACTTGAGATTCTAGAGCACGGGCCTGCTGCCTGAGCTGTCCCCAGCTGCTTGAAGTAGAAGTGGCCATGAATGATGCTGTTGGTGGTTGAAGAGTGAATAGATTGGGTGTTAGCGAGAGCTCTTGCTTGAAGGGTCTCTCATATGATACGCCTTTCCCAGTTTGTCACTCCCTGTCGGAGCATCGCATTTCGTCGGGTGGCTGTGTCATGTCATATATCACATGGTATGATACAATACCAGTAATTAAGCCCTTATCTTATCTGATCAGAGCTAGGGCAAACCCTAATCTCGTCCAGGACTGCTCTCACACAAGGAGAATATTTGGCGCCACCAATTCTGGGCAATGCACATCACAAATTGTCAAATTCACGACCGACGACAACAATTGCCCAACGAGCCACCTAACAAACCGATACACAGATCCTAACATCCAGCCTTCACCATGGTATGTCAATTTCTGCCTGCCGCTACAATCTGGGGCCAAGAAAGGGGAGGGGTAGAATACTGATGGCTGAAATTTGTATAGCCCGGAGTCAAGACCTCAACTTTGTGGACCAAGTCCAAGACCGACCTCCACAAGCAACTCGAGGACCTCAAACAGGAGCTTGCCAATCTTCGCGTCCAGAAGATCGCCGGTGGTGCTTCGTCCAAGCTTACCAAGATGTAATTTTCCACCCTGCAAAACAGAACCATGTCCGCGGACCTCAAAGTTAATGAGAAATCTAGCCATGATGTTCGCAAGTCTATCGCTCGAGTCTTGACCGTCATCAATGCTACCCAGCGTCAGCAGCTTCGCATCTTTTATAAGGGGAAGAAATACCTGCCCCTCGATCTCCGTCCCAAGAAGACCCGCGCTATCAGGAGGAGGTTAACCAAGCACGAGGCGGGATTGAAGACTCTGAAACAACAGAAGAAGCTTACACATTTCCCCAAGAGGAAATATGCTATCAAGGTGGGACTGCATTCTTAATTCACTCCGGGGTTTTAGGCAGGAGGAATTCGCAATGGTGTGCTAGAGGTGAAGTATGGGATACGGGCATGAAATCTTGGAGGTTGTTTGCTGCTGGCCTGCCGCGGGAGCATTGGGGGGCGCATTCTTGTGGAGTTTTACTGACACAATCTTCAAATTCAGGCATAAGCGTGTTTTTCCTTCCTTCTACTTGGATGTTCAAAACTGGATGGTTTAAATAAATAAAACTTGGCTTACTGGGCGAGCGGTTTCTCTCCTGTATAGCCGCGTCATGAGCGTCGTTTTTCCCTTTCCTTTGCAACAAGAGAAAACCCAGCATGCGCGAGGGTTTACAAACGTGTATGCAGCTGTTCCGGTATCCTTAGGTATCATATCTTCTAATAATAGCGATTTCACCAAAAAAGAAACAGGGAAAAAGTCTTGTAATCTTGTAATCAGAGCTATTGAACACCATGTAGCCCCGTGGGGTAGCTCTTGATAAAACCCTGGGGGTGCGGTGTTGGCTCAGCATGCTCCTGCTACGGCTGTCATCTATCGCCGGAATGCACTGCTTGTTAATATCCATTCATTCTGCGTTTGGCTTCCCTGCCGTTTCGCCCCCTCCCCCCGGCCCCTATGACTAACTATCCTTTGTCCAAGAACGTAGGCCCCCCCTGTTATCCCTATTTGCCTGGCAGGTGGGGCAATGATCTGTTAGGAATTATCGCTGGCGCATAGCTTGCAAGGCATTTGAAACACTGCAACGCCTTTTGTGTAGCTCTCAAACCGGAGCCATGAGTAAATATTGAGAGAATTGGGAGATATCAGAAATTCGAGCAAGATATTTGTATGTATGGATAGGTCATTCTCTGGGTTTTGCGGGTGATAGATAGTGAAGGAGAGCCGCATCGCTACAACCGCCACGGCTTGTTACCCGGCGCCATGGATCGGAGGCCCAGCCCAGGATTACCCCACCAAAGATTTCGGATGACCTTTGCTGCCCCACTGTTCTCCCTTGGTGTTGCGGACCTTTTGTTTGTTTACTCCAACATCCCAAGCACTTTTTCTCTGCATCAGTCGATCCCCATTTGGATTCTGCAGATAATATTCCCCTTTGCTTCGATTGGAGAGAGATTCCGCAACCCGCACAAAGGACATTAGTCGGTAGAGATCTCCTAAAATGACCTCCCAAATGGTGACTCTCAGAACGCCTGACCTTCAATGGTGGCTTGACCATCTTGACACAGCATTTGCTCCCGATGTCTCGGTTGATCTGCTTATCGGGTAATTCCCTTGAGTAATCAATACTTCTTATGTGCTAACCTGCGTCTTGTTGGTGAAGTGTTCTCAAGCGTCGTAGCGTCAAAGGTCCAGACGCCGCTGCGGTAGCAACAGCTCAACTTTTTCTTCGTCTGATCTACGCCCACCCGTTCTCTAGTATAGGCGATCTTGTGGAACATATATCTTCAATTGGGACTAGCCTTTCAAAAGCCGTACCCCGCGAGTTAGCTGTAAGAAACATGGCTCGAAGAGTGATTGGTATTATCCGTGAGGAGGCCGAAAATAACGGCATGGGAGATCTTTTCCAGGCTGCACTGGAAACAGGTATTTTTATCCCCCTCTTGTTACCCATTGCTCAATATCTGGACTCCATAGTGATTAGTTTTCACCTTTCCTTCTTAGAGGAGTTCCCTCAGGTTTCTCGTGCGCCTATGAAGAGTGCCGATACTAGGGCTCAACTCCCTGGGCATAGTTCATTTGCGAGCCCATCGAGCTCTGTGACCGGGGTTTTTGAGATTCTCTCTGCCGCTTCTTCGTCTCGTGGGTCTTCCGCTGCTTCAACACCCCCGTCCACGGGCATTGGAAAGGCGTCGCAAGCACAAGCTGTCCAGTATGATATCCGTCCAGCTGTGATACAGGATATCCAAGAGCTCCTTGAGGAGCTTGATTCTTGTGAACACAACATCTCTGAGCTTGCAACACAGGTGATCTACAAGAACGAAGTGATTTTGACTTATGGGCTTCCACCATCTGTCCATAAGCTTCTCCTTCGCGCTGCGCAAAAGAGAGAGTTCACATTGATTGTAGTTGTCGATGAGATAGCTGATATCAATAAACAGGCTAGCGCTGCTGTTATGAATAGACCGATGGGTGGGGAGGAGGTCGGGGGTGACCAGGAAACTGCTGCCAGAAAATCGCTACAGGATCGCGGAATCCATGTTATGGTTATCATGTACCACGACCTTGAAAATCTGATGCCTAGGGTTAATAAGGTGATTGTCGCGGCCCGATATGTTTTCGCGGATGCGGGCATGGTTGCTGTTACAGGAACAGCGGGGGTTTTAATGGCCGCTAAAGAATACCGCAAACTGGTGTACACTGTTGCTGGAAGTCATATGTTCTGTCCCATGACAACCTTTGGTCCCTACGGGCTCCTTGAACGAGGGCCTCCAGATACCACACTTCGTAAGATCAATAATTCTTTGTCAGTTCTATTTCTTCTAATCGCGTTGGTTCCCGTAGCGTATAATCCTGAAAGATGCCGGCCCGCAACTATACTTTCTGAATACATCAAAAACGGTTCAGTTGATTGTTTTATCACAAATAAGTATGTTGTTTCTCCCTCCCCACTTGCCTAATGTGCTAACACATTACATAGCGGTCTTATTGCCCCTAATTGTGTTAATCGTACTATTATAGAAATGTATCATACTACTCAGTGTGATTTGTTCTAGCCTGGAGATTGAGGGTCTTGGAGTGCCAGTGCTTCTTTTGCAAAAAAAAGGTTTCCACTATAGACTCGGGGTTTCACTTTCTATCTCGGATATTAGATGGTAAGGCGTCATTGGTGGAAACCTCTTTTGATTTTGTGGTTTTATTATATTAAATTTTATGGGACAAGGTGTTATATAGGCGTGGGCTGTGAGCTAAAAGTTATTCGTTCTTATAGTTAAAAGCTAAAAAGGTGAAAAAAGTAAAAAGGAGGGACTACAGTACCAGTACGAGTGAAAACACCCTTGACTGGGGCCCTTTGGGTAGAAAACTATCCGGGCCAAAGGTGTGCATTCTATCCTCGACGGACAAGCAATAAATAATTTAAAGAGTCTGATAGTAGACCACCTGAAGGGCCAATAGCCAAACGACCATGGACAATTACCAGAGAGAGATACTACCACCCAATCTTAATGGGGTAACAGTAACAACTAGAATACCTCTAGTTGTACTAGCACAACGTATTCCGCAGCTGGCGGGGGTATATAAAAGCCCAGACACGAAGGGCACTGGAAGAAACTGACTAGACGGGTAAAGCATGTGACTGAGGGTGGGGGGAACATATGGCGGATCCCGGGGAAACTGGGTCCTTCGGGACAGCGAAGTAAGATACACGGTCCAAACATTTGAGGTTATACTCTTAATCTCCCTCCCAGAGTGTAGGTAGGGAAGAGTGGCGATAGTAGGTTGCGGTGTTGAGATGTTCCCAAGTAGGTATTATCATAACTTGGATAATTCTAATCACGGGGTGGATGGGAATTGCGGAGAATGTCTTTGGTTTTATGAGCTTGTGATGTTTTGTTGATATCATAGTATTGCGATAGGTTGCAATATTTTCTTGTACAGTACTCTTGAATACTGGAAAAATGGTAGTTTTTCTCTACATACTCAGGGGCATGCGGTGATGCGACTACTAGCCATGATGATACAGTAGCGGCAATGCGACCTTTTTAAAGCAAAGGGTATAACCACAGCAGCATAGCCAATTGTGATCCCGGCTCGGTATTTGGTATTTTCAGAATTTGTGAAAGCATTCCTAGTGATATACGGACAAGAGTCGGCACGTTAAAACCGATTGAATCTGAAACCATCCCCCTGCTCTCTCTTCGGCGGTGGAAGCTTCCCTCCTGTTAGCGTGCCGGCTACCTCAATCAAGCGCGGGTCATTTTCCACTCCAAACGTCACCCCGGTATTATCAATAGTCCTCAACATATCCTCCATGGTAGGCGGATACTTCTTGACGAGAGCATTCTGCGGCTTGAAGGTCCTCTCAATCGCCTCATCAAGGTCCTTCTCCGTGAGCAAAAACTCCCTAGCATTCAAGTAGAGCTCGTGCAGCATTTCCAGCTTCTCCTCCTTCTTTTCCTGCTCCTTCGCCAATCTCAATTGCCTTTTCTCTTCCAATCGTTCTGGCGCCATACGGCGCATGACGTTAATATTCTCGCTCCTGAGCGTAGATAGAACGGACGGAAGCGTCAAGCGGACGTCCTCGCGCATCGCAGTGTTCAGCAGCTCGTCCCGCTCCTGGTTCCTCTTCTCGAGCGCTTCCTTCCTCCGTTGGGCCGTCCGCATCGCCCTCCTCCTTAGCTCTGACAATCCCTCGCGGAGGTTGTGGCGACGCATGGAGGACATCTTGTTTTTCCATTCGATATAAGACTTCGCCTCTTCGTTTGCTGCCGGGTCCGCTTGGCGGGGCGCGTGGGGCTCAGGGGTCGCTTGGAGGGCGGATTCAGCGTTCTCGGCGGTCGGGCGTGGCCTGGGGAGCTTCCCCTTTGGCGGGGACTTGCGGTATGGTCGGATTATTGGGGATGTTGGCATGTCGATGTAATGGGGGGATTCGGGGCCAACATCCTGTAGGGCAGCAGTGGTCGTGAGGGTTCTTTTTGCGTAGATTGGTGCTAGGCATACTGTGCGCCGGAGGGGTGTTAAGAGGGACATTTCGATTTGAGGGGTTATTGGAAGTAATTGTACTAGCGATAGCAGATGTGGGGAGGGTGAAATTCAATAGTTTAAATTTTGACAATTGTATTTGGGTATGATAGGAGGAGATGGGAACAAATTACTGTACCTAAGGGCATTTGCGATAGGGATCATTGGGGGCAGGGTAACTTCCACAATCCGGGAAATCCTCAAACCCTCAAACCTTCCGTTTCTCCCCGCCTATGTCATTGTCCGAAAAGAAACAAAAAACATTCCAGAACCTATCCCCTTCCCCCCATTCATCAGTTCTCTGCTCATCCACTCTTTTCACAAAATGGCCACCTCAGCAGTAACCCCTCTCTTGCACAATTAATGGAGTCCTCATGTCACTGACGATAGAACCCGCAGAGAAGCGCGGCCCTAAAAATCAACTGGGTTCAAATTGCGACCTCCCTCGGCTTAAAGGGACAAACAGTCGCCTCCCTCCAAGCCTTCAAGAAGCGCAATGAGGATGTCCGCCGCAAGGTTGCCATCCTCTCCGAGACCCCGCAGGAAGTCGACTTCAATCATTACCGCGCCATTCTCAAGAACCAGGCCGTCGTTGACGAGATCGAAAAGGCGTACACCTCATTCAAGCCCGCCACCTACGACCTGAATAAGCAACTCAAGACAATTGAGGCGTTCGAGGCTGAGGCTGTCAAGAATGCTGAGGCGACGAAGGGCAGGGTGGACGTGGAGTTACAGGAGCTGGAGAAGACACTCAAGAATATTGAGGAGGCTAGGCCGTTTGAGGACTTGACGGTGGTATGTCTGCGGACTTCCCTCTCACACCATATATAGCTACTTGGGACGGGGGATTCTATGTGAGCATTTCAAGATGTATTGGTTGCTGATCCATCATGTTATTACTTGCAGGACGACATCGCCAGAGCTCGTCCTGATATCGATACCCGGACTGCAGATATGGTTTCTAAGGGCCGCTGGATGCCAGCTGGATACAAGGTTCGTCCTTCCCCCTTCTGTCTTATTTGTGTACTCCCTAACCAACCAACTAGGAAAAATTCGGCGAACTCTCCGTCCTGTAAATGTGGACAGCATATCTGGACACAAATGGAGACGACACTCCGAAATGTGCTTTGCGGGTTGTAGAAGGCTATGCTATCGCACCGTGTTCATAGAAATACGAATTTCTCTGTAGATTGCTTTCGCGTGCAAATAGTTTGTCATCATATCTCACTCGGGCACAGCAAAGTATGATATTATACCAAATATACCCACTGTAGGAGCGATAATCATACATGGGACTCATTGAGTATTTAGGCAGACCCTTTGCATTAAACCGGGGGTAAATGGGGTCAATCCCCTCACAAATCCCACTATCCTTCGCTCAAGCACAAGTACCGTCCACATTTCATTAAAATTACTAAAAAATATACCTACCAACGATAGAGGCCATTTTCGCTCCCCCTTTCTCTCCATTAAAAAAGACGAAAATATGCTTAACCCCCCACCCGACATCTTATTATTGCCATTATCCACGGTAGACCCCCCAAAAAAAACTTACGACTCGTGGCGACAAAGCAAGGGCAGAAGAAAAGCTTGATAAGTCAACACGAAAACGGGATGCGTAGTCAGGTATAGAGAGAAATAATTCCACGAAAAGAAACAAGTAAAATTCCAAATAGTGCAGATTAGTCAGTCGATCAATCAGCTTACTTTTTTTTTGCCTTAGGACACCCTAAAATCATAAAGTCCACATAATTTCTGACAAAGCCAATAAATTCTCATTCAACGACCTCCGCGCCTGTAGGGCAGACGCCGATTCGCGACGGTTGCTCATGGCCTCAGAGAAGTACAACTCGACAAGGACTTTTAGATCGTCGTAACTGAAACCGATCTTACCCTCTTTTGCTGTTTTGATCAGGTTCTAGTTGAGATTTGGGGAGTTAGACGTTGACTTGGTTAGACTAGTGATACCTTGAGGAGTCTGGTTTACATTACCTCCATACCGCCAGCGTAGAGTGCGTAAAAGGTCGAGGCCCGCACTAACTCTCCGCCTGTCTCTATGTTTTTGAGATTTTGTTGAAGGACTAGGATGTTTAGTTGCATGCGCTCTACGCCCTCTTTATTGATGATTCTGATGTAGTTTGCGTTGGCTACTAGGAGGTGATCTATTATTGCACCGAGGCCTTTGACTAAAAATCTGTAGCGGGAGCACCGATTAGTGGCTGTTCTGACAGGATGAGGAGCAAGGGTTAACTTACTTGGTTTCTTTGTCGCGGAGAAGGTGTGAGATGTCCTCGTCAAACCAGACCAGGTCCGCGTTAAGGGTCAGGATGTTAGAATCAGGAGTGTTTACAGGACTGTCGAGACAGTAGTTGCCCTCTTTCATGCATATGCCTAGATAATAAAGTACGTGACACCGAGCCTCGGCTCGCAAGGTGAAAAGAATGGTATTGGCTAGTTCCTGGAAGGAATTCACCACACCGTCAAATCCACTGCTAGAGGTTAGCTTATCCGGCTGTTCCCAGGCCTAGAGAATTTTGTACCTGACGGTTTCAGCAGTCATGGGGAGGTATATCGGTTTTGCTGTTTCATCGAGAAGCATTGAAGATTCTCCTGAAATCAAAGTCCAGCGTCGCTTCCGGCGCTATTGAAGAATTAGAAATAAGCTCCTCCTGAAGTTAAAGGCTAAAGCAAACCCCGGAGAGTCCCCCTTCCTGCCGAGAAAAGCTCTCTGTATCTTCCACATGTCGAAGTTGAACAACATTGCTGGCCAACCATTTCATGCTGGAATAAAGAATGCATAAAGAATTTATGACTTTGCGATCGGTAATAAGATCAGCAGGAGTAAGTGCTTTGCCTTCTTGCTCTTTAAGTTCAACTTCGGTCTCCTGTAGCAGTTGTGAACAATCAGGTTACTCGGAAATTGAAGGGTTGCAAACCTTTCTAATTGCTTCAGCCTCTTTATCCCCAGTCCAGAGATCACCCATGGCAGAGTGAATGTTTTCCACGCGTGCCCATTGGGCACTTCGCTTCATATCCAACATTGGCGCGGCTCCGTCTTCTGGGGCAGCCCGATGTCTCGCAACAAGCTCTAGATTTTTTTTGTCCTGTTAATTGATTTCAAATGGCCAGGGATGAATCGGGATATACCTTTATACCATTCATAGCACTTTTCGTAATACGAGTTAAGCAAGTCAATAGTCAATTGTCCAAAAGCTTGATCAGGAGGAATGGTATCAAGCATCTTGCACAACGCGGTTATAAGCCCAAAGAAAGCTGTTGCGCCCTTTATAACAGGCTTATTTGCGACTGACGCCCACTGAGGATCCTGCTGGAAAGCATCAAGATCACTAGTTGTCTGATTGAAAAGGTCCCGGATGGTATCTTCTAATGAAGGGTGAAACACGTTGACTAAGAAATCATCCAAAAAGGAAGTCAGAGTGCTAAGTACAATTCCAGAGCCTGCAGGAACAATATCTTTGATACGGCTGAGAAACGCGAGTGATGGAGGAAGAAGGAGCCCCATATTGAAGACACTTGGTTCAATCAGTAGCTTGTGCCCAGTCGCAGCGCCATCAGAGGATGTATTTATGTCTGAAGAGGTTGTGGCGGGTCGAAGAGATTCAGAAACGAGGCCAGGCACAGAGGCTTTTAGAATAGACTCTAAGTCGTCCTGATCCTTTTTAATTGAAGCTGAACTGCTGTCGGTACTTGATAACTTAAACAAGATCTTATTCTTGTCTCGAGTCGTCTTTCCAGTAACGATGTTATTGATAGCGTGATGAATGCCTTTAGGGGAACTTGACACACTCCGACTGTCGGCCATGGTGAGGTAATCATGGAGCAGGGACCGCATCTACAAATGTTAGCGTGTGAATTCTAAAAAGCTTTTCAGCAGTACATATGTACCTCACTCTGTATTAGTTGCCAGACTTCCATAAAACCGCCTGCTAATGACGCTACATCTTGGGAGCCGTCTCTTCTGCTGATACCCTTAACGACATCATAAATTACTCTATGACCCTCCATAACCGCTACAAACTTAGAGTATAGAGTCCATAATAGGTCATGTATCACAGTGACCCGAACATCATTATCGCTCAGACCCAGGTCGAGCGCTTTGATGAACTTCCCAACGGATCGGGCAACGCCGGTTAGGGAACTTGGATGCCGTTGATCAACTTCATTATTAGTCTTCTCAACAAGTTTAAACAGCTCTACCGGTAGACGCTGGTTCACGGTTCCAACGGCATTAGATATGTGGCCAAGGCTATTTAATGCTTCTAGAAGCAGCCTTATATAGTAGAGACTATCGGCCTCCGGATTCTTATTCGCATTTGCGTCTTCTATCATCTGTGTGCATCAGCATGGGTAGTCATCAAGACGACATTACGAGACTTACCGGCTGTGTGAAATCTGCAGAATCAAGAAACACATGTAGTGGTCTCTTTCCACCAGCTTTCATTAATAATGCTTGCCAGAGTCAGTAAACGGAGACATTACTTGGGATGCAAGGGTGTCCATACAGGGGATAGAAGCCTGCTTCTCATTAAGATCAATTGTAGAAATATCGGCATTTGTCACTTATGCTTTGTTAGTCTCGATTCAAGAACCAAGAAGCTATAGTATCGTACAGTCTTTCTGATGTGGGGAGTAAGGTTTCCATCGATCCGTACAGTATGGAGACTTTAGGTAAAGATGGTTATGCAGCTCCTCAATCAAGATGTCGGCGAGGGACTAAGCACGCTATCAGCAAAGCTTGAAGCCATCAACAATCAACAGTTAGGGGTACGAAATCATATATACCGATTCTTGACTGCCCAGATATGTCCTTAAATCAGATAAAGCACCAATCTCCATCATTTCTGGTTGATTTATAACCTTAAGTGCATCAGATAATACCCCAACGGCTGTCAAAAACCGCTTCTCGGATATGCGTGCTTCTAGTTTTTCCGGTACACCATTAAGTTGTTCTCTGTTGAATAAATTAGACTCAAAAACTCTCCAGCCATGGATCCAAGCCTTAGAGCAGGGGGTAGGGAAAATCGAACATTTTGTTGAGTGTCCGTAGCATAGTGTCATATGTTTGAGATGTTTCCACCATATTTTTAACCTCCGGCTTTGAAGTTGAAAGATCTGCCTTTGCCTGAACTAGCGATTCCCTGAGTGCTCTAACCTTCGACTGTGACGTTGTTATACTCCTCATTATGCTGTGAAACGTCCCTATGGAACTATTGAAACCCTGATGGTGATCTAATATTTCCATTTCCCCCCCCCTTCTTCAGTCCCTGCCCACGAAGCTGTTGGGAAGCAATTCCAGGAGAGGGTACGTACCGTTCACGATAGATTGCAGCGCACGTTGAAGTTGATTATGCGTTTGCCGGTAGCTATCGTACTGGTAAGCCCTCCCCAACGAGCTGGTATCCATAAGCTGCAAGGCTACTTTGACGGGGACACAGCTGTCAAGTGTCATGAAATCCCAATCCTTCTCAATAAGTTGGAGAATATCTAAACGTAGCCAGTTGACGGAACTCAGTATTCCACCCTCGATCCCGCGAGAAGGGAAAAAAAAAACAGATGGAATCCCCCCGCACCTTCCAGCCTTCGAGTACCAGGACCATAATTCTTCACCCCATTCTGTCTTGGTTTACCACGCGGGGTCTGATCATTTCCCCCCCGGTTCACATCTCTGCCATAGTAGCCCTGTTGGTCACTCATCCATTCCGAGTTGTTGGGAGCGGGCTCCCGTTGCTGTGATCGAGGGGGCAGCTGCTGTCTAGCATCTCGACCGTAATCGCTTCCCCCATAACCAGCGTATCCACTTCGATCCTGGTCCCGTTCATTCCTCCGTCTGTCTCTCTCCTCGTATGCAGGTCTTTCCCGAGTGTCGCTATAATCGTACCCGCCATAGCCAGAATACTCATTATTGATTCCCCCTCCTTGGCGTGACCGCTGGTATCCATCCATCGCCGCCGGAAGAAGCTACCAGAACTCGCGGAAAGCCCCGGAAAGCGCACCAAAGCTGAGGATGACTTGAAGGAAGCTGGTGGTAAATTCCTGAGAGCTGAAGCCAGTTGTGGTAGGCCGGACGCAATTGCTGACTTGATAACAAGTGCCAAGATTGGCGGCTTTGGTGTCGGACCAGATCAGCGTTGGGAATCTGGTGACGAGAGACTATCGGGGTGTACGAAGTGGAGGAGCCAGGAATTGCAATTTTCGGAGGCAATATTGTAATTGGTGAGAAAATATTTTATTACCGGTGTGGAAGAGAAGAGATGACTTCCTTCTTTCGGACGGTGTGTTCTTCCGGCAGCTTGTGGACCTTGACCTTCCCTGTGACCCCTTAATACCACCTAAGATAAGGCCTGAAAACTGACCGGAATACAAGGCTATGTAATGTGACCCTTACGTATTGTAGAAATACAAAAGCGAAATAAAATAAAAGGGACCCAGCCTAAGGGATAGAAAATAAACAATGTATATTTGTCCAGTTATCGCTCTTGTCTAACCAAGATGGGCAAGAGCACACCTATATACGGAAATTAAGCGTGCCAAGCCATCGACAAAATAGGAAATTCGGGAGGGTAAATTACCCTACCAAATGCTGCACAAAGACAGCAATCCTACCTGTTACGGTATCAGTACAGGTACTGTTTACCTCTGGCACACCTGGAGATTTGATCTTGACTTCTTCCGGTCATACTGTTTTTGGAATGAGAGCTGCCGGCCACGGTCCTCGAAAGCTCTGATGGCCTGGTGGCCAAGTGAGATGTCGAAATCTCTTACTCGAGTACATCACCTTCACCATTACTTTAGTCTATACCCAATTGAGTAAGGAGACTATCTTCTATTCAGCTCTCTGGCCCAATAGACCTTGTCCCCTACAGACTTACAGAAGACCGCCCTTTATAACAACTTTTGAATTATATACAACGAAATAGTTACAATTACATGGGCTCAAAGTAATAGACTATTTTCCAAGTATACCATCACGCAGATGGTATTCAATATCGCCCTTACTCCATTCACTAATATGCTCCTTAGCAGATGACTCAAACAACCTCGCCCCGAGCCTTTTCATCAGAATTCTGTCTTCTGCCGAGAGAGCCCCGGACAACTGGTGCTCTGTCCAAGAGATAATCCCGTTACGAGTGATGAGCGTAGTACCACCTCCCTCAATTCCGGCAGCATTCCAAAGCAGTTCGACGACCTTTTCCTTCTCCTTATTGCTAGTGTAAGGGGAATTGTAGACATTTAGGCAATTGCCGAATACATTTCGTTTCCGGTATAGATCGAGGTCCTAGGAAACGCGGGCAATTAGTAACAGAAGCGTCGAATGGTTCCAGAATAATATAAACCTCTTCAGTCTTTAAACCTGCTTCCAGCACATTCAAGATCCAAAAAATCTCCCTGTGGTACTCCTCGCCCATATTCGAAAGTGATATTATGTGTGGGACATCGTGTAGATTCAACAATGGTTGTCGAAGCAGGAGTTCCATGACTTTTTCATAGAGGAAGTGGCTCGGACTAGATAGGACTTGGACTAGTTGGGCGAGGAAAACTCCAACAACTGTAGGGATATGAGAGGGTTGGGAAGCATCCAGTCTTTGGTAGCTTGAAGAGGAGGCCAATATGGCGCAAAGGAGATGCAAGATTTGTGTTTTCTCCCGGTAAATCGAAGTCTGTGCGTGTTAGAATGGGGGTACTGGAAGCTGGGAAAAATCACTGTGATATCTTGCCTCCAATTTTGCAATAGCTGTACTGAGATAGCTACGGGCCCTGGTATTCAAACTCTTATTATGGGAGCAAAGGGCCATAATAGCAAAACCCAGAGTATGTTTTTCGGTGGCGGCCTGAACATCAACGATAACATTGTCCGACAGCAGGCAATAGGTGAGAGCAGGAAGCAAGAACTCTGGATTGTACGTCCTGGAATCTGTTTCCTTCTGTTCAGTAAGAGCACCCATGAACAATTCAAACGTTTTTAGATCTGAATTGGATACGGTCACCCTGCGAGGAGAGTATTGGAAAACACTCCTGGCAAGCTTCTTAGAATCCACAACGACAAAAAGCCGGCCTCGGACTCGCGAAATAAATGGCTTTCCATCCGCTCTCTCAAGAATTGTCCAGTCTGCGATTCTATTGGCGCAGCTCTGGGCTAGATGCGCTTCGATACTCCATATAATGTTTAGAAAAGCAGTGTCTATAATATCGTTGGTGCCGCGATATAGCCCCAATACCCCATCCAGAGTTGTTATAGTGGATTGAGATAATCTGGCAACAGAGAAAAGGCAATAAATAACGAATGCCATATGGTGTGAGATCTCATCGGGTGTACCCCTCCGGGATAAAAGAGGGTTCTTGCTATGTTCGAGGACTATTTGAAGTAACTTCCCAGCGTTAAGAACCTGATTGCGATATTTAGTAGACAATATTAGGTTTGTGGAGAGGAGTGTGCATTCTACCTTAGGAGGCAACTGTGAAACCATAACCGTTACAAAATAGACTACCTCTGGGGTATCAATATGTTTCTGAAGGCCCGACTCAAGCACAGCATTTAAAGTAGCTCGTGGAGCCGATGATGACAGGTCAATCCTTTTTTGTGCAAATAATCCGCCTAGCCGTTTTGTGAACATCAGGACCTCCTCTGACAGTAATCCATCTTCCTCAAATATCCGAGTTAGGAAGTCAAGGGCTCTCAGAACCCAGCTTCGAATATCGGCTGTTTCTCGAGTGTTGATCAAAGAGTCAATTAAAGCGTCGATAAGGTCAACAGTCTTTGCCGTGAGATTGCTCCTTCTGTTGTCTTGTATTATATTCTGGAGCGCTCCCCCCTTGTCTAGGGATGGGAGTAACGACACCGCTTGTTGAAGGAGAGTAACCTGCTCAGAGGACAGGTAATTCTTATAGAGATTTTCCTGGAACCGACCAAATATCTGATCAAGCTGGTCTCGGGCTTCGGTGCTTGCATTCGCTGTCCATTCGAACCGAGCGGCACCTTTTACAGGCATAGAAAATGTCTCGAGCAGCGCCGTTAAATAAGGTGAGATATCCTTGACCTTGGCAGAGCCAGAAGTTTCGGCTAAAGATGAGAGAACGAGATCTTGTATAGCATCCACTTTCCTTATAAGCGCACACGCTAGACCTGCCTTTGCTGCCGAATGGTCGTTTCCAAGATCCAGTACAAGTGGATTAAGGCAAAAGGAATCCACATCTACGCTCTTCTCCGGTAAGCCAAGCAGATATTGTCCTAAAGCTTTATTAAAAGACTCATGGTCAGGGAGGCGCCCCTGAAGTTGCGCAAGAATGTCCTTCAAAAGCCGAGGTGGCAGATGCTTGCCCATTGTAGACAATCGCTCCAGAATAAGTCTAAGGAGATCAAATTGTAGTTTGTTGAGCCCTTTCGCGTTGGTGCCCTTCAAGATTGGACTGACCAGGTTGGGAAGATTCTCTAGGGGCAGAATTTGTAGAATTACGGGTTCACATATGAGGGAAATCTAAAAAACAATTAGCCATAGTTTCTAGGCTTGATAGGGGTAGCTATGGCTCACACTCTGCCCGTGAGTGCTAGCACTATCATCGGCAAGGAATTGGCTGATGCCCAACATAGACGCCTCGAACCTCTTAACAAAAGGTTCCAACACTGGCTCAAAGCCATCGAAGGTGAAGCAAAGAAGTTGGGAGAATCCTAAAGCCAAACCCATTTAGTAAGCCTCTAGTCGGTCTGGTAGGCATAGGGGGCAATCACCTGTTGAGAAAATGATATACCGTTGGAGTTTTCCCGGATCCACTAGCACGCGAAGAAAAGACTCAACCCAAACACTATCGTGGACCAACATTGCTACGGAACGATCACGAAGCTCATCACCCCCAGGTATCCGCTTGAAGAGAGCTTTTAAAAGGCCTTGTAGATTAGAAATGGAGGCGCAAGCATCGTTTTCATTTATCGCGCCCCCACCCAATATGCCACCTACCGCTTTGCAAATTATCATGATATCAAAGAGTGAGACATCATGGCCTCCATATCGATAGAGGTGCAGCAAATTCTCAATAATCCCTGTATCTAATGTTCTTAACCCCCTGAACAGATCTCGGGAGTGCTTCTCTCCTGAATCTATGCCACCCCCACTGTCTCTGATTGACGTTGATTCGTGTGATCTGCTGTTCATAAGTTGGAACTCCCCTTTCCCATGCAGTCCCTGTTTTAACAGTTTGAAAACAGCTTTACTTGCCTTGTCACATCCGCAGAGTTTGACAAGACGATTGCACAAAGCGGCAAGAACATAACGGTTTTCTCCTAAAATTGCACAAGACTCCATTAATCTTGCCAACCAAGTTGAAACGCCCAGTTTCACTTTATGAGGGGCATTTGATTCTATGAAGAATCTGAATTGCTCAGTTGTTGTGACGACCAGAGGGCTCACAGCCGCGGTGCCTTGCCCTCTCCCCTGAGACTCTGATATATTCAGAACAAGCTCAGCGCAATCGTCGATATATTTGAATGGGGCATGAATACACCTTGATACAGACTCGTCTAGGAATACTAGAGCTGCTTCAAAAGTGGCTGGCTGAGCGATAACAGTGAGACTCTCTAGAAGTGCCTCGAGAGGAGATACTAATGTTTCAGCTTGGAATAAAAGACTGGGTGCCACGAATGAATGAAGCAAGGTCTTTATCTGGTGTAGAGGGAAATTTGAGTTCGGCCCACAGCAAGCCCTGAGGATAGATGCAAAGGGCGAGAACGGCATCATGACTGTGCCCCAGAGTGAGCAAGTATATCTGATAACGGGATTATACGGGAATATACCTGGCTTGTGCCACCACTTTAGATCTGGGGCATCTTTCGCAACTCTCAACAAGTGACGTATCTCGAGAAATCCCAATCCTTTCTCATCAACAGCTTGACCCGAGGGCCCTTCCTCATCTGCGAAAAGCGTTCCCAAAGCTAGCGTGACATCGAAACTACCCGCAAATGCAAGTTCTGGTAATGTCTCGCAGTAGTAGACGAGTAATCTGCTGGTAGCTTCCCTCTGTAGCATTCCTAGCCCGGAGGACGACTTTATCAAGCCCGAAACTGTCGACATATCGGGCACCCGTTTGCAGAATTCCTCAATGAATTCAAACCGCGCCCTTAGCCAATTTTTGGAAGGGTCTACCATAGAAGCCGAAGCCTCATCAAGGGCTGACAGAACCCTCCGGAGTTTTTGAAATGAGACCACCAGAAGACGTGTTGTTAAAAATTTGATCAGATTGCAGCTACTTTCGTGAGAAATGCATTTTGTCAACACCGCCTTAGTTAAGGGATTTGGTATTACATTCTCGGCAATAACACTTATTGGAGGAGGCGTCGAAGATAGCTCGGCCGGTCCGAAGAGATCTGGTATGGGTAGTTCAATTGCTGCAGTAAGGAAACCGCAGTACCCGATCCATGTAGAAGTAAGCCTAGGGTCGAAACTGAAAGAAGTATTTGTGATAAAATAGCTAGCCACAAGTTCTGGGCACGCCTTGAATATAGCCAGCAATAGATCTTGTTGAAGTGTGTCGGAATAGGGTCTGATAGACGAGATAAACGACGATAGAGTGCGGTTATGTACCTTTGGCGGCCCGGATCCTCGACGTTTTTCTTCACCTTCAATCAACCCCGGCGGATACCATCCGGAACTGGGGAAGCAAATGCCGTTCCCAGGAGTAGTACAAACATTCAGCAAAAACTCATGCGCAATCTCCGCAATAGATTTCTCCTCTTCTCTCCCGGCTTTCGATATTGTAACCCTCTCTCGCCGGCAATATAATCCCGCTATATGGCCCAGCACCCACTCATTGAAAACCTTCGTTTTAGTGACCCTTGGGATTTCCTTGTCCTCTATAATATATTTAGACAATGCTCCAACCACTTCACTGATGGCTACCGGGGAGTCTGTCCTAAGGTATTTGAACATGGGTGATATCCAAGGGCGTAGACCAAGTATTTGATTCTTGATATTGCTGCTGCCGTATTGGAAAAATGATGTGATAAATCTCAGAAAGGTGGTCCTAATAGTGGGCCTCCGCAAATCGTCTATCGTCTCAACCCTTCCGCCCCGGACTTCCAAGTTTCTCGTAATATCTTTTACTGTGAAGTCGAAGGCTGAAAACAAAATTCCACAAGCACTCCCATGATCAAACCGATTAACTTCTGTAAGCATTCTCAGGCAGGGAGCAACAACATGTTCCCTATTAGAGACCAGTGTTCGGTAGATTATCTTTAGGTAGCTTTGCTGTAAAATAGCTTTGCAAAGAACAAATCCGCTGGACCTTAGATCTTCGTTCTGTGAGCATATTCGTACTACCCAAGCCAGCGATGACACAACCGACGAGAGTAATGAAAGAGCATTTTTCTGATTCTAGATTTAGCGCAAACGCCAGAGGTTGGAGGCAAAAGCGACCTTACCTGTGAGGCATAACTCCAAACTTGTAAAATATCCCCAAACGCATTTGCCTGACCTTCTTTCGCATCGCCATCCGTAGCCCGCTTACTCTGTATCTCCAACCATTCCTTCAGAAGCTTCAAATTGAAATCTGCAACTTTGTCCGGAATCTCCGCCCCCTTAGAGCACCGATTCAGAAAAGCCTTAAAACATTGAATACCTAGGCCGTATCAGAGGACGTTGCAGCCGACAAATAAATTTCGCAAGAACTGGAGGCTTTGTACTCACCGTTATTCAACTCTTCTGGTTTGGAGAAGTCGCAGAACAAACTCTGCAATTGCCGCAGTGTCTGGATGTCTTCCGGGGCTAATTTTGGGTCAGCGCCATTTCCAGTAACCTTATTCGGTCTCCGACGTTTGTTGAAGCCATCCGGCTTCACAGAGCCGTCGGCCTCGGACGGTCGCTTCATGGTCGTAATTGGTGCTGATACGAATCGAAGTTTGTTCTTAAGTTAACGGTAATTTTTTTGTAGTGATTACCGCCAAGCCAGTACTTGGCAATTCGACTACGGTACCTATGATACAGGTGTGGGAGCGTGGAAAATATGGACCAGGAGTACAAGTACACAGTCTACCGTCGAATAAGTTGTACGAAATTGGTGGGAAATGGTGACAGGATAACGCTGTAACAGACGTAAAGGAAAAAGGGAGGAAACAGAACCCGATCGAGATGGAAAGGGAATGTTGTTTAATTGCTTGTTGTTGTGAGGTGCTTATCCTCCCCCTATGGGGGTGGTGGTGTGTGTTACTCTCTTTTCTACTCGAGTAACTTAGGACGGGAAGGGAAAGAGCTTGTCTATATACAAGGGTTATTGAGTGCCAAGACACCCATAAAACGCAACCGCAATCCAGTAAACCTATCCTTCCTCGCACTGGTAACCCTGAACCCGCCTTTCGGTGTTGCTGTAAATATCATACTCATATCATACGGTAAGAAATACAAGCAATCGGCCCCAAGATATTGCCATCAACCAATTAATGTGGTTGGATATGGTGCTGTATCTGTGGTGGAGTCGGTAGGCTGGTTTTCCAGCGGAGTCGTGGTTGCTGCTGCGGTACGGTAGGTGTCGAAGGGTAAGCAAGGTTCGTGCAGTCCGTACCGGTATCTTAGGGACATCCGATCAACTGCTTCCACTTTTTTTTTCAAAACTAATACAGAAGAAAAAAAAGAAAAAACATTTTGTAAAGATACCAGCCACAAAAAATCTAATGCTCTGCTTCCCCGCCCTCCGTCTCACCAACATCGATCAAATCTCCTCCGCCCTCCCCTTCCAGTCTCAAATATTCATCCCACTCCGGAAACAATTCCTCATCCTCGTCCGGAACTCCAATAGCTTCGGAGAGCTTTCCCTTTTTGTTTTCCTTGAGACTCTCTTTCCATTTGCGCACCACTTCCGTTGTTAATGATGGTTTATAGGTTTGAGTAAAGAGAGCTGCTTCCGGAATTCTGGCCGTTTTTACCAATAGTTCGGTGCATTCCTCGATATCTCCTGTTTGCCACAGTGCCGCGAAAGCAATGTTGTTGGCTCCGGTAAGGATAGCAGAGCCTGCGAGTTCTTTCAGACCCTCTTGGTTGCCGGTTGCAGTGCGCAAGAGAAGTAGTGACCCAATGTCTTTGGCATTCCTGAAGCACTCCTCCGCAAGGATTAAATCCCACGCAAGTAGCGCCGTGTCACCCACAGTCTTCCATTTATGTTCTGCATTAGCCTCTCTAGCAATTTCTAGGGCTGTATCGAGGTTTCCAAGCGATAGTGATAAGTCAAACCGATGTTCGGGATCTGTGGCAATCTCCAATGCCAAGTCTTTATGACCCTGCCCCTCCAAGAACCTAGCAATCTTATTCTTCTGGTCTTCTGGGATATCACCTAGAATCTCAGCAGCAGCTTCCATATCGCCGCGCAGAACTACGGTCTGGTACTCTACCACTCTGAGTGACAAGGCATAGGAAAGAACATTAACATCCTTATCAGCAAGGTAGATGCGACCATCGCGCGGAAGATATCCAAGGAGGTACATAGGGTGATCGAAGTGAGAGATGGTGTAAGTTTGATCGCCAACGAGGTAGTTCAGGCGGTTTGTCGAGTTGGTGTAAATAAAGCAGTCACCGACCCACTCACCAGTGCGGACCGTTTCATTGATATCCGTGATGACTTCGAAGGCGGCCTCAACGCCATCCTCTTCAACAGTCCCATTTTGCACAGCAGCAACGTACTCGTCCCTGTCGAACCGAAGAACGTAGAATGCATCCTCGCATGCAAGTACAACAAGTTCACCACTATCCGACCAGAATACATTCTGTGGGACAACATCAATCCTTCGGACAAGCCCACCAGTTTCCCAGTCAAAGAGTCCAACTGATCCCTGCCCTCTAACAGCCAACAGGACACCGCCAATCAGCCCATCGGCGGGAAAGCCCACGTCCAATCCTCCGGGCTTTTCTTTAAAGTTTTTGAACAGTTTCACACTCGTCTGACTCTCGCGGATTGCGTAATCATTGCTGTTTTCCCTGGAACCCCAAACAAAATCCAATGCCTGTCCAAAGGCTTTGTTTCTCCATGCAAGAGCAGTGTAAATAATATATTCACCGTCACCGCAAACAGAAACAAAACGACCGTTAGGGGAATGCAGGAGCGATTGAGGGTAGATCTCGCAGGAGCCTAGATCTTTGGAGGGAAGTGAAAGAGGTTCACCATCTTTGGCTGACACGTCTAACATGGAAAGTCAGTATGCGAATGGACAGAAACAATCATTGAAGAACCCCATACCGCTTGGTTTAATAACGGCCGTCAGGACCTCACTATGCCTAGCCCACACTATCTTCCCCCCCGTGTCCATGCTGACTGCAGGTTCCTCTCTTCCCATTTTCACCACAACACACCCTTCATCGAATCCCATCGCGATAGCGTTCTTCCCTTTCTGTGACGAAACACACCACGCTCTCTCAAGGCCATAGTTTAATGTCTGCTCGAGACGATAGGTGTTGGCATGCCAAATCTTGACAGTTCCATCCTCCGAACCTGAAACAATAACCGGTAGTTCGGGGTGGAAACAAGCAAATGACACATTAGATGTGTGTCCTTCCAATGTGGCGATAAGAGATTTTGTGGTATAGTCCCAAACTTTGATGGTTCGGTCATCGGAGGTGGTCAAGATGTATGGCTTATCGGCTGCTGGGTAGTAGTCGACATGGTTGACACCTTTCGTCTCATGGGCTTCCAGCGTAAAATTAGCATTTCCACCGCCGCCCAAACTCCAAATCTTAACGGTTCTATCCAAGCATGCACTTGCAAAGGTGTTGGTATCTTTTGGGTTGATTGCCAAACTCATGACATAGTGCGCATGCCCTTCAAATGTTTGTACACATTTCCATCCTTTCTCCCAATCCCATAGCTTGATGGTCATATCATCACTAGCGGTGAGCACAAATGGCTGGGTAGGATGTACGACGATAGAACGGATGTAATCTGGATGAGCCTCGAATGCAGCAATCTTCTCCGAGGTATTGTAATTAAAGACTCGGAGGTGGAAATCATCAGACCCCACCACAAACCAGTTCTTTCGGGCAACAAATCGGCCGGCCCTGACTGGGACATCTGTAACCTCGAATGTTTTTACCAAAGTCTGGGTCTCATGAGACCAGATATTGACATGACCTAGAAGAGATCGAATTATCAGCAGTATTTACTAGAACGTCAAGTTAGAGCTTACCGCTGTATAAAGTGCTTAGAATCCAAGGCTCTGTGGGATGGAAATCAATCCCCTTCACTCTGTCGGAGCGGGCGAAAAGTTGTCTCTTGACAGTCATGTTCATCAGCCCTGACTCCTTAATGCTGCCCCCCCCCCCACTCTACTTGTCTGCCACTCCCAGTATAATGAGGATGTTTTTTTTATATATATTTTCCTATTTTTCTGGGGCCCGATAAACAATAAGGAGGAGTTTTACCTTCACATCTAGCCGCATGTTGTTCTATAGCTGTTCCGTAATTCCTGGCGTCGGGTTGTTGTTGGAGGGTCTCCTGTTTGGCCTGTCGCAGCCCTCTTGATCCCGGAAGCAGAGGACAGCTTTCTGGGATTCGCTGTCTTGGCGTCCACATTTTATGCTCCCCAGCAGCTCCAACTGAAATTCTGTTTCTCCCTTCCCACGACTCAACAGAACCACACGACTACTGCTCCCAATCCAGGAGACGAATTCCACCTTGTCTTCACCAAATTCCACGGCCCTGATACCTCCATCCATGTCGCTCTATGATTCCACGCTAGCATCTATATTCGCACCCTCGCCGACAGTCCTAATAACTACTGTCCTGGCTATCTTCCTCGTACCTATCTTCATTCACTTCATTTTGTTCCGTTCTCGTTCCGCTGCTAGCCTTCCAACATTCTTGCTTGTTGGGCCTACAGCAAGCGGGAAGACTTCGCTTATGACATCAGTGAGTGCCTATTCCGCAACTATGATTTGTGAACGGTTCGTTGCTAAATCTCCCAAAGTTTGAACCTGCCACTGGTCAACCTCCCGCTGAAACACGCACAAGTCAAGCACCACTTTCTATCGAATGTTCCGTTCCCGCCTCCATCGCTAGCACATCGAAGTACAGATCCGTCAATGATCCTTCTCTCAAGGCGCACAAAAGATTCCTTCTTTTCGACACACCTGGGCATGGCAAGCTACGTCATATAGCTCTCGCTTCGGCTTCCTCCCCAGAAATTCGTGGAGTTATTTTCGTCCTTGACTCCTCTCTTACCGATGTCCGGGAAGTGGCTGAATATCTCTATGATGTTCTATTGACACTACAGAATTCTACCACTTCGTCAACAACTACACAGCCTAAAAAATTACTAGTCGCTTGTAACAAAAGCGATGCCTTCACCGCGCTACCCCCATCTAAAATTCAGAAACTCCTAGAAGATGAAATCACAAAGATGAGAGTTTCAAGATCCAGAGGAATCCTGGACGTTGAGGACGACGGTGAGGGCAATGATGAGAAGGAGTGGTTAGGAGAAGGTGGTGAAGGTCCATTTACCTTTCAAAGTATGGAAGAAGTTGGTGTGGAGATTGAGTTCAAGGGCGGCAGTGTGGAGAATGGAGAATGGAGGGACCGTCTGAGTCCCTGGATTGGTAGCTGTTTATAATCTTCCCTCTCGGGATCATGAGATCATGGAAGGAGTTAATGGCTTGGGTTTCTCCGCGGCTTTTCTCTTTTTTCTCACCCCGGCATGAATTCAATTGCCGTAGCACCAGCTTTTTGCACTGTATGATACCATTAGATTGAATTATTCTTTTAGTGTTTGGCTTCTAACGTGTATCACGGCGGTACTTGAAGCTCGGCTGATACTTTAGTGCTATTGCTCCCTAAGGTAATCGTATATGCTTGTATGATAATTCAGATACCTATCTTACCTACCGGTAACTACGCATTGGCCGAGGGTTCCTGGAGCAGGAATCTACCGTCTCATCTCTGGTTTACTCCTATGAAGGCGGCACTTAGGGAGACAAGGTCATAATTAGTTACCTGCGTAATGAGTGGTGGGTGGCAATTCGTGATTAACTATGTCCTTGATTTCTCCACAGGAACTATCACATTCAATCATGCTTGCAATACTAGTACCCTCTTACTGAAACATAACCTATCATCCTCCAGAATCTATAAACATTAAGTAACTTACTCACTCCATTACCGTATATAGAACGAATTGCACCCGTGATATAGAGAGCATGAAGGCTACCACAAGTACCAGCGTCTAGACATGATAGTTTGGCTCACGAGTTTTAAGCGCGGGCGGTTGCAGCACAGCACCCTGACAAACGTCATCGTAGGTGGCCACTTTTACACCAAAAACGTCGTTTCCCGCGAAGCCGGAGCTCAGCCACCTATGTGCCAACAATTTAATTCTCTGAAAACTAGCAATTTTGGTTATTAACATTGGTGGGTTGGGTTATTGGAAGGTATGCAGTAATGTTGGATGAAGGATTGCGATGCCGAATTCGCTATTTTTAAAACATGCAGCACTATACATTCCCTTTATGGGTGCCCACACAACTTCTTGGTGCTTAACTTAGCTCTGGTTTGGGAATTAGTTGTGCCGGTAGATGGGTGCTGCCCACAGAACAAAGGAGTCTGTCATGGAAACGCGAGTTTCAGAATCTCTAGCTTGTTGGCTACCTGTTACAAGTACATTTTTCGATTTACCGGTAACCGAGAAAGCGGTTAGAGGTACAAATAACAATTTCTGAGACCCCGGGTATCCGCCATTTTGGTGTGCTTTCGCCGGTACTTGTGCCCACCAACGGTACCTTTTGTCCAAGAACTATATCAAGAAGGATCCCAGATCGGCAGCTGTGGGAGGGGAAAGAGAGTACCGTATGATAATGGTATGAGACAAGTACCATACGGTACTGGCAACGGGCCAGCATTACCGTACGGTAGCACGGTACTACCGGCATTAGTATGGCGTGGGTCAGGGGCTGCAAGAGGATTTCGGATTTTGACCTGCCATTCAGAACTCAAACTTTCGAACAATTTCTGTAACCTGAAATTCAACTGTGTGAATCTCTGGGTTAAACTCTCAGTCACTCTTTATGGCTGAATGGGTGCATATCGAAAAATTGGTGTATTGGATAGAAAACGGGAGGGAGGCGTTTCTTTTATTACCGGGCCACAGCATAGTCTAGTAGGGGACTGCTGCGGCAAGGTGTCGAGGGGAGCGTTTTCCTTCGTGATTGCAATGGTACTCGAGTACGAGTAATGTATGATGACAAGATAGTCACCCGTGTGGTTACCACACGGGGCCGAAATGGAGTGTAGTTTTAAGTAATTACTATATTTGATAAATAGCAATTTACCTACAAAATTTAATGCTAGTTATATATTGAAAAAAAAACCATTAATAAGAAAAATTAAAGTCTTAAGAAATAATCAAAGTAAAAGAGAAAATAAGATCACAATCATGAAAAGATGAATGGACAAATTCAGTGAGGACAAATAAGAAAGGTAGGAGATAAAAGTAAACAGAATATAAAAGAGAACAATCAAATCATAAAGTAGAAAAGACAAAGATAATTAAAAAAAAAAAAAAGAAATAGAAAAACTTATATAATATGAAAAACCTCAGAATACACAATATTTTTGCACAACTTTTCTCCTTCATATACTGAATCAAATATAAATACTTTGATCCTTTCACTACTTGTTGCTCTTGATAATGCAATATATAATTGCTCATGTCCAAATACCTCCTTACATAAACTAATCCCAACATGTTCTAATGACTGCCCTTGTACCTCATTCATAGTCATTGCATATATTAACTGAATTGGAAACTGAAGTCAAATCAAGTTTATGGAAATATCTTGTGATTCTTGAGAAGAGATGTGAATTTGTGGAATTATAACTTCAGTTTCAGTCTTTATGCCTATCATTATAATACCTGTAAAGTATAAAATTCAAAATCATATTAGTATAATCTTAATAATAATATACTCAATTAGAAAAAATCTTATGAATTAATAAAACTTACTATATATTAGATTTCATAAAAGACTTGTGATTTTAAGCATTGTTTTATTACAAAGACCTTGACATAGATTTGGGTTTTATAAAAGCAGAACTGGTGTACTAACTTTTAAATATAATAAATGTAGTAGAACTCTAGAAAGTTGTAATGTATTAAGATACTCAGAAGAATACATTGTTTGTTTTTTATCAGAAACAGTGTCGATACTAAGATAGCTCTTAATAGCTGAATTATTGGTTTGGTAAATAAGGAGATCGTTGTTGATATGGTCTATCTTAATATTTCATACTACTATAATGGCTCTTTCAGCTAAAACCTTAACTGACAGATTCAAAAAAGAGGCAAAAAGACTAAGTAGGTATATTTCCACTATTAAATCTTGTATATCATACTATTATTTGAAGAAAGTATTGTTGGAAAAAAGGGTAATATGATTGAGAACAGGAGAAGGCTCAGTTGTAGTTCCAATTTGGAGAATATAATTAGCATATTCTTTTTCTATTATATATGCTTCAAGAGTCATATTGGCATATATCAGATGAATATTTTCCTCTAACTATAGGACTTGAACCTAAGGCCAGTAGGTAGAACACGTTAAAGTAGAGTTGATAATTTGTGATTGAGAACCACCAGAAACAACTGAAAGACATTGTCTAAAATCTCTAGTAAAAAGTATAGTTATTCCTCCAAAATAGTGAGAGTCTTAATAAATATCTGACAACATCCTTGAAACTGTATGATATGTATATTTATATTACATAGTTACTTTATCCCAAATAATAAGTGAGGTTTAAAGAAAAACTTTAGCCTGAGGAGATCCATGATTAATTGAACAAATTGATTGATTGTCTAAAATCAAGGGAATTCAGAAAGTTTAATGTGTTATTTATCTTCCTTGCAGTAGTATTGCTACAATACTGTTAGATACTACTACTAAAGCAATCCTGTATTGACTTCAAATTTTTGCAAGAATTATATTCTCCAAAAATGTCTTTCCTGTTTCTCCTCACCCATTAAGGAAAAATATATTTCCAGTTATGGTATTAATATCTACTAACCTTAGGACTACTTGAAATGCATGTCTCTGTATAGAATTTAACTTTGGTTCATATCTTTGAAGCATCACATTTAACTCTACATAATTCTATGATATCTGATAATATAATAATCTATTCTGATGTTAACTATAAAGACTATAGTTTAAGTCAGATAAAGGTAACGGCAATCAAAAGTAATCTAACCCTTTACCCATATCAGAAAGTATCTCATGAAGGAGATGTAGTCTAAGGCTGTATATTTACTTATCTGATTGACTCAGAATTCTTACGCTATGTTCCAGTAAGTACTGACAGTCATCAGATGGAATATCTCTGTATGTCAACCATGAATTAACTTGATGAGAAGGACTTGATTTACACAATATAATTACAAAGAGATTCTATAGCTATTTTCTAGTATGAATTGAAGTTGCTTTAGGTAGGGTAACTACTTATCTCCTGGACTGTTGAGACAGTGCAAAATGTTATGCCGCCCATACAAGTGTTTGAGACACAGGTTAATAAGCAAATTTTGTTAATTACTACAAATTCGCAGAGGTACAAACTTCAGACCATAGCCAAACTTAGCTACACTGGCATGATTGTACCTACACACATTATCACCCAAGAATACTGTGACAGCACCTTAGTCATTTCTGTCTTAGATACTGACAGGAGCAGCACAACATTTTACACTGTCTTAACAGTCCAGGAGTTAGCATGTTTAGGATAATTATCTGAGCTCAGGTAGGGTAACTACCTAGGGCTCAGGCAGGGTAACCTTTTCCTATTTCATTAAGGTAGGATAACTTTATTCTCCCCTTATATATTATATTTTCTGTTTCTAGCATTCAAGCTTACTACTCGCCCCCCCCTTTTTTTTTTCTGCTCTTATTTTATTTTCTTCCCCCCCTGGTCCTTTATCTCCTTCAACCCACCCTAGCTTAGTGCTGTCTTTCTGGGCATTTGTCTCATAGTGCATTTTAGTGCTGTCTTATAGTGCATTTTAGCGCTGTCTTTCTGGGCTTTTTGTACTAGTGGTTTTCAGGGATCTTGAGTACTATAGATACTAATATAACCGTGCCAAGGTTCCTGCTCAATTATGTAAACAGCGAGCTTTTCCAAACCTGGCAGCCCGCCTATGGCGTACCTAACAGCTTAATGTCACACATCAGCTCAACATCACATTCGGCTGAATATTATGACAATGATACCCCGACATCTACTATAAAAGCACCAGAATGGGTGAAAATTATACCAAAATTGAGGCTCGCATCCAGGATGATTTGGCCTCCTTGAGTGAAGACAAAATACCCAATATCAGATTCACAGCACACCAGTTTGATGTACCAGAAAGATGTTTGCATGGATGGTAGAAAGGACGAAAGTTATGAGAACAGGGAACTCTACCAAACAGAAGGTATACTGAAGCTGATGAATCTGCAGTTTGCATGTATCTCAAGAGGCTTGATTAAATTGGAACTTCCGCTCAGTTTGCAATGGTAACTGGTTGTGCAAATGTGATCTGTTATGTGGCAACATACTCCAATCATTGTACAAAGGAAATCCTACTATGTAACTAAGAAAACTACACTCAATATATGCAACGAAAACTCCATGCCCATTACTCCTCCATAGCTGGGTGGCCATGACACTAGCTCCCCCCTTCTGATGCCGAAGTCCTCTGAGGCACGTTACTCTGATAAGGGTCTTGGTTTATAGGGGTAATGCTCATGGAATTACTCTAAAGCCTGGAGCCTGTTGACCAAGTTGGCAGGCTCCCAAGTAGCTTCTTCGTATCCATTCTATCTGATCAGGTATCTTAAGCAGTTCTTAATAAACTTGGTGTCCAAGACCTCCTCTACCTGCCATTCCTATTCTATATCTACCTCGATGGGTAGCGGTGGCAGTGTTGCCTGTCCAGGAAGGAGATTGTGGGAGGTAAGGTCAAGTACTTGGAGAGAAACATGGAATACATTATGGATTTTCATAGAGGGTGGAAGATCCAACCTGTAAGCATGGGTACCTACTAGTATCAGGGCCAGGACAGGGTAAGGGCTAAAATGTTTGTTGTCCAGTTTCAGGGAAGGCTGTTTGGTTCAGATGTTCTTTGAGTTTAGCCAAACATGGTTTCCGATCTGGAAGTGAGGTGTCAGG